CTGCACTCCAGCCTGGGTGACAGAGTGAGACTCTCTCAAAAAAAAAAAAAAAAAAAAAAGAATGAGGTCCTAAGTAGCCAATTGGAAGTTGCTGCAAATGGGTTACTAAAGGGCAGTGGACAATGTCTCTCAAATATCTGTGAGTTTAGGTCTTTTTTCCATGAGCATGCCAGTTTCTCTGGAATGGAATCCTTCAATTTCCTGTCTGTGGGATACAAACCTGATTGTTGGTGTCCTGGGAGCCCTGCAGGGTGAGGCGATTGGAGATGTTCAGTGTTCAACGAGTTGGCTTTCATTTAAACATTTATTTTCAGCATTCAGCCTCTTCCCTGTTCACTGCTTCACCTGGTTCCTCTGAGTCCAGCACTTCAAAGAAGAATCAGAATAAACTTCCAGTTTTCTGTATGGTTGAGAGAGAGATGCTCACCTGGTTGTGTGGGGTAGAGGACGCTATCTGGACTTCTAACTATTCCTTACCCAGACTTTCAACAAATCTGTTTTCTGCTCCAACGTCTGTCCTCAGAGGTTCCCAGGGCTTCTACATCCCGAATTTTTCCTCATTCTGAGGCTTGAATCAGCTTCTTTCTTGCCAGCATCCTAATTCACAGGACCAGATTTCAGTTTCTCAGCTCTGTTGAGTCAATTTCCAGCCATCAGTCCACTTTCCATAGTCCAAAATTTGGCTGACATCTGGACTCACACTGATACCTTTCAGGTACTCTTTGTCTTGTAGGATTTATTTATGATTTTTTATTTCTTTACTGTCATTCTGGAGAGGTTTGGGGAAGCAGAAATAAATGAATGTTCTTATTTGATCTGCCGTGTTTAACCATATCCTCAAATTTATCAGTCTTTTCATTTGTTAATTATGTTTTTTATGTTATATAACCTATGATAAAAAATTCACCTTCAATTTTTTCTAATCATTTCTAAGTTTGTTTTTTATGTAACCTAGTTTATCATAGTGTGTAGTAGAAACTTTGAATCTAAATTTTCTGTTTCCACAAAATTGATTGTAACCCTTACCATTAATAGAGTAATCCACCCTTTTCTTCCTTATTTGTAATACCTCCTCTATTATTAAAAAAAAACTCATATATGCTTGGGTCTATTTCTAGGCTCTCTGCTTTATTCTATTGATCTACTTGTTTAGTCTTGTATGAATAGCATTTATCTTAATTAGAATTTCTCTATAAAAAACCTCTTTGCCTATTTTTAGGTCTTTATTTTTAAAATATTTACTATTGTTTTGTCAAGTTATACAACGTATGTCATTTGGAGATTTTAATCAGAATAATGAATGCATGGATTACTTCAAAGAGAATGTATATCTTTACAACTTCCAGGTTTTCCACTCATGAAGATGATATATTTCACCATTTGGTCAGGTTTTTCATGCCCTTAACTCAAGTTTTATAACTTTCTTGCACATATTTTATTACATTTATTCCCAGGTAATGAACACTTTTTGTTATTATGAATAGCATCTTTTTCCATCATATTTAAAAATTAGAGACAGCTGATTACAGAAACTCTAGGTTTTTGCATCTTGACCTTAGTTCCAACAATCTTGCTAAGCTCTTCTATTACTTCCAATATATTTGTAGATCCTCTCGAATTCTCTACACAGATAATCATATAGCAGATAAAGACATTTATTTCTCTTTCTAATCCCAGTGGCTATTTTTTTCTATTTGTTTGTCTTGGTTAGGTATTTAGCACATTTTTTTAGTTGTAGAAGAGATAGTAGTTACTTTATATACTTCCCATTATAATCAATGAGAATGCTTTTAACATTTTATCATTAAGCATGACGTTTGCTATAGACTTCTGGTAAATGCCTCTCGTTATGTTTAAAAAGATTCTGTTTCTAGTTTTCCTAGAGATTTTTTTTCTAAAGTGATTACTAAGTTTACCAAGTATCATTCACCTATTAAGACAATCTTTCTCTTTTCTTTTTTCTACTTCTCTTATTTATTTTATTTTACTTTTAAACTGCTAATGTTGTACATTATATCAGTGGATTTTCAGATTTTAAACCATCTCCGGATTGGTCTTATCTATTTTTTCCACACTGTTGGATTCAATTACTGATTTTTTCATCTGCATTCATAAGTGCACTTAATCCAAATTCTCTATTATATTGGGTACTTTTGTGTCCAATTTTGATATCAAGATTCTACCAGTCGGCTTTTATCATTTGATAAACCTGGGTGTTGGCAAAGGTTTTATTTGACTGAAAGAATCTGGCAAGGGGTGTTCTGCTGCCTTTTAAAATTTTCAAATCTTCTTTTCTATTGAATAAAGTAGACATTTTAAGCTGGAAGGAGGTATATTTTTCATGACTAAATGAAGTAACTAATTTTGAATTAAAAAATGGCCTGTTTTTACTTTTCCCAAGTTGACATGCAAGCAAAATATAATTTCTTGCTACTGATCTACATGATAGCAAACCCTCAGTTGTAACTAAAAAAATACAAAGAATTGTCCAGATATTTTCAAATGTCTTTTTAGATGTATTACGGTTTGATTAGGTAGATCTAGCCTATGACAGACAAGCGGTCCTGTATCTGGGATGATCCAATTGGGAAATATATTTCACAGAATTTTCCTATATAAATCTCATGTATTTTTAGGGCTGTTTACAAATGACCTCTGGAAAAAGTAAACACTATGAAAGTAAAGTTTCCCATGGCAGAGATTCAGCAACATGTATCTTTTTTTTTTTCTTTTTATTCTCCTTCCTTTCTTTTTAAATTCTTGATTGTTTAAAAAAAAGTAGAAGGCAAAGAAAGAAGAATTTTTCAATATCATGGTATACACTACATGAAATTTGTTAAATTTTTCTTCAAACTGTATAGTTCCTCCATGATAAGTGTATTTCAAATACATAAAATAGGTTGTGTGGTCACTCATCCACTATACCCTATATATGAGATATCCAGAATTTATCTAGGGAAACATACTATTTTTTTAATCCAAAGACATAACCCAAAAATACTAAGCCATTTATCTTCTAAAAACCATGCAAAATGCAGGTCCCTGCTGTGTTTCCTGTTGATAATATTTTCCCCATTTGTAGCACAACTTTTCTTTCCTCTGGGAAGCTGGTATTTATTTTATTCATAGATTGCAAAATTATACCCTGATGCTGTTCCACCAAAGGGCATTATTTATACAAGCAGGGAGAGTGTGGTTTAGGATATAATCAGCAGCAGTAATGGAAAATAGCACTTTCAAATAGGCCTCACTGAGTTATGGAGGATACCGCCTGGAGACCATGCACCCGGAACTTCTCTGGACACAGGTCGTATCTTTGCACAGACATCATTGATTTTGCTGTTTTCTGAACTCCCTGATGTCGCCCTACAATATGTTCAAGCCCAGCAGTTTACCAGACTATGTAGTATTCTATCTTTCCTCCCTGTCTAGATATGGGATGTCCCCATCAACAAAACTGGCTGTGTTCCGAAAATTTATTTCTAAATCATTTATCTGGGATCAGAAGACATTTTCCCACAGGAACAATTTTATAAACAGTGATGTTCCACAAATGCCTGCTTGTGCCACAGTGTACCTGAAATGCAACATTGACTGTACGATTCCTACCAACCATTATTTATTCTTTTCTCTGGGAACGTGCATTCCTAGTTCTATGTTGGGATGCCTGAGGCTTATCTCTCCCTCTGCCTGGGAGTCTCGGCTATAGCTTTTTTGGGCTGTGCCGTAGTAGCAGTCAGGAAGAGGCGAGGGAAGCAACCTTCCCAAGAAAGAGATGAGTGTACAGAGTTGATATGGACGCCTCTGGGTAACTCGTTAATTCTGGAAGGCTGAAGAAGGAAACCTACAGTGTGAATTAGTTACTTCCCAACTGTTCTAAAAGAGGCACAAAGGGCGGGGACATTTTTGTAAACAGAGATCATTTCTAAGTCACATCTTCATAAATAGGGAAAGGCATATAGTAAAACCTCACATTTTTAAAGACCAACCTCTGGACTTGTAATTAACCAGGAAAAATACTGTGAAACTTCTTGGTCAGTGATGAAACAGTCTCCAAACATACAACAATGAGACATAGATCTTGCACCTATACCCAGGCCTGACAAACAGTAAGTGCTCCAAAAAAGGGATTTTCACTTTTAATTAAGTACTAATTGAGTGAATTCTATATTGAAAAGGACAAGACTATGTGTGGGCCAGTTACCTTCATTCTCTTTAGCATCTCCTAATTCTGATCCTCTTACAGCACACGTCCTACCAATGCAGGGTTGGTGAGAGCACTTTCAAGAAGCCACCTGAACATTATGTCACCTCTGCGGGATATATGCATCTGTCTACCCCAGCCCAAAGCAGGTGGTGCATCTCTTCGTGCCCTCTCTGATGTGCATCAATTTCTAGGAATTTCTAGTACTATCTCCACATTGCCAAATCTGAGGAAACAAAAGAGATAAGGAGAGGAAAGTGAAGTCAGTGAGGATATCCAAGCCTGTAGGACCTTAGGTTTATTCTGGCCAGTATTACCTGCTAAAAAAGACTTAAGTTTTTGGTTTCCCTTCGGTCACTTGTTTTTATAACACATGCCGACATATTTTGGGGAGTTGTGCCTCTTTCAGGCTAGAATTTAGTCTGCACAGCAGACCCAGGTCCTGTTTCCTTCAGGTTTTAGAATTGCATAACAATTTAAACTCATTTTGTACGTACAAGTACTTTGAAAAGAAATATACTATTAAGACTCTCTCTGGTAAGAAGCCTTCCCCACCCCCACGCCCAATAAACTGATCTGTTAACTTTTTGTTTCAGAGACTGTGCTTTCTTTTTATTGCTGCATTTGTGTTCTACAAGACAGCCTCTCCAAGATTAACATTTCTTATGATTGTTCCTGACAATGGATTCACTTCCAGAGGCCCTGCTAAGGATAACCAAAAAAGGGCATGGAGCAGGCTGGTTTTGGCAGCCTGCACGCAGTTTCAGAGCTTTTTAGGTCTTGGGTTTTCTGATGAGTGATTTCCTGAGCATGCCTAGGGAATGACAGGCATCTCCACAGGCAGGCTGCATCCACCTTGGCTGGGGTGTCGTCATTGGCTGCCTATTAGAAAAACGACAGGACAATGCATACCACCGCCTGCCGACTGTAAACATAGGGGATATGTGTTCACTTAGCATGGACTTCTGGGAGGGGCCAAGGAAGGGCGGTCTGGAGTTCTATTGAATAGAGCAGTGTGTATTCGGCTGCCTGCCTGCCTGCTTGCTCTCTGGCTGTGCTCCTGCTTAAAGAAATCAGTCCTTCCTTTCCGACTTAGTCCTCGGGAAGAAGTTTCAGCCTACGAGGTAAGGCACAGAAGGCTTTCTTTTTTTTCCTTCTAGAGAGAATCTGGGGACTTTCTCCGGTTTTCAGTCAACATTCCTGGCTAAGGTAGCTGGAGATGCAAGAATGTTCGAGGCAATAAACCATGCAAACTCTGGAGCCTGACTGGGCTTCCCTGCCATACGGATATTCCCGGAAGGCAAACAGGATGAGATTTCAAGTTTTGTTTTTTAGAGTTGGGACAAGAAGAGCGACCATATAGAGACTTACATTTAGGGAGCACTGGCAACTTTGATTAGGATAGCCTTTTGTTTAGGACAGCCATATGAGATTATACCTGATATCCAAAGGCCAGTGTTAGCAAGCCTACTGCACCAGATTGCTCACACAGTCTCTTCTGCATCTTTTATTGCCAAAGATTTAACGTGGTTTTGCTTTAAAAACAAAACCAACAATTCTTTAGGTTGATGAGAAGCCAAAAAGGAATGATTTTTTAACCAAAGGCATTTGCGTTATAGTCTGCTGCCAGTATTTAAAACTAGACTTCCAGAGTTGCAAGGAAATAAGGTCAGAGATGGAGAGATCACTAGCACCTAGCACTGGTTGGGTTAATGTCACTGATGGGATATTTGCTAAGACAGAAGATGCCTAGGCTGGTCTGTTTCCTATAAAACCTAATAACAAGAGAATGCATGCGCTAGTGGGTGTGTTTTGAGAAAGCACATTTAACGTCCTACCAAACTATTTTTTTAAGAAATCTTATTTTCTGTTTGAAAGGGTGCCTGAGTGTGTCTAGATAATCTGAAGAGATGTCGATTGGAAATGTGGTTTAGAAAGGGAGGAGGCAGTCTTTCATATCGAGATAGACATATTTGGGTGTCTGAAACAGTAGTACAAGGCAGTTCGTTGGTAGTAGCCTGGAATTCCTTTTAGAAAGAGCTGATTGTAAGGGGTGGGGGAATTTTAGCGCTGTGGCAATACATGGTCAAAAAAAGTGGATGAGAACAAAGTGCTTGGTATTTATAGATGCCTTCTGTTAACAGGACTATGCAGATGGACTTGTAAACTGAAAATCCTTCTAATGTGTTTGCCAAAACCAGACGTATACAGCTAGAACTTGAGTGAAGACTAGATGCTATATGGCAAGCAGGGTAAATCTGATGATTTTTTAATAGTGCTGGCTATGAAAGACTACCAGCTGCAAATCACTGATTCAACTGGATTTTATTCCATGGAATGCGGTGGTTTGGGGTTGAGATTCATTAAATAACATTTTCCCTTTGTATTTAGAAGTTTGGGGATAATTTTCTTGGGAATGCCTCTTTCTCCTTCTAGAAGTGATATAAGAGAACAAAATTCCCTGTGAATTTCCTTCCCTGGAACAGTTCTGAGTAAGTGTGAGAGAAAAGCTGCAGGCGAAAGCTATAGTTTAATTACTGTCCTTCCCTCGAAGAGATCAAGTTCCAAACTATTTTCACAGTGTTTTTAATGTCAATCAAAATATGGAGAGCAATTTTTCTTTTAACTGTTCTCTAAACCATGAAGGGAATGCAGTTTGGAAGGAAATCTATAATCTTGGGATTTGAGGATAAATTCCATTTTGAAACCAACATCTCAGAATGCCTGAAAGTTCAAAATGCGCTATGACCACTCTCTCCGGATCCCCCATCCCCCTCCTCTTGGGCTCCCCACCCCCAACAACCATAAAGACACTTTAGGTTTTTCAGAGTAACAGTTTAGGTGTTCTGCTGTATAGGTAGAGATAGAGAGAGAGGATTTGAGTTTATGCTGAATTTTAGGCAGTTCTTTGTGCTACTTCCTTCCTGTTGAATGTTACCTAGAACATATTTCGCCACATAGTGAGGTCAAAGGAACACAATGAAAGCACAGTAACTTTCATTTCAGAAATATAATCGCAAAATTTCAGAACAAAAAGTCACTAAGAGTTGAGCCTAGGACACACAAGGAATGTATGTACAATGGGTTGATCCATAAGTAAAGTGCAGGGTTGTTTCAAGAATTCAAAGCAAAAAGAATGTGTAATTTCAATCATTCCAATCAAAATATTTCCTTAAGTAAATACACAATTCTTATATTAAAGTTAGGAGAAGAAGAACCAGGCTCAAACTGCAGCTTAAAGGATTTTACATGAGATACAAGAAAGCATTTCCTGACAGTAAGGCAACTGTCTTGTTATTAGCATTATTAACATTTCTAATTGGCTTCTGTGACTGGTCTGAGAATCTCCTCCTCTTAGGTAGATAGAATAAGTTTGTCCTATGGCCAGCCATGTAAAGTTCCAGAATCTAGCCCAGGTATTCTCTGTTCTGATAATTAAAATGCACCTCAGCAGGTATTTTTGTAGAAACACCTGTAATTTTCTCCATTTGCCATTTTCATGATAGCGTGATTACTAGTTAGTCATTCCTTAGCAAGACACAAAAGTGACTTAGAGATGGGCATGAAAAGAGATTTGCTAGTTTCCCATTTCCTGTAGTCTATCACATGTCTCAGAAATGTGGTCGGGGGACAGGAAAAATGCTGATAGAGTGGTATGCAAATAGCATGGTAGGACTAAGGAGGAGGTTAAAAAGATGCTGCCAAAGAATTTTCAGACTTCAAAAGGGGATTTTCTGCGTAAGTTCTCTTAGAGCCTGAGAAGATACCATTAGCTCCTTACTGAAAGTTCTTCATCTGTCAGGCTAATCCAAGTTTGCTATTGGAGAGATGCCCATAAGTCCTGAGTAGAAGGGTAGCTTAAATAGATACTTTTGGCATAGGCTTAACTTATGAGAACCGCTACAAAATCTCAGTTCTAGTATTGGTTCCTCTACTTAAGTAACCCTGACCTTTGAGGAAATCATCAGCTTTTGACTTCATCTTGGAGTGCAGAATGGACATTGGTCATGCTTCTCCTATGTCCCATAGTGGTTAAGATGTCCAAATGAGATGAAGCTCTTTGCCCCCTCTTCCTTGTAGATTTTATACCTTGAACTGCCTATCATTTCAGTCCTCTGGACATTATGCTCCTCTTGGCTGGGATCCTCCACTTCTTACCTAGTATCCCTAATGATCTCTTCCTTTCTCATATTTGAGGACCCTTGAGTGGTATCTTCTCGCTCCTAGTTCTTTCTAGAGCCCTGAGCCATGTCCAGTGAATACTGGTCTGTCCCAATGTTGTCTGAATTTTTACTCTGATGATCACAGACCAAGAGGACACAAATATAAGGAAGTGGAATAAGATGGGCCATCAGCGGTACAAGGCAATATTCAGGAACCAGGAAATCCAAAGATCCACTTGAGCAGAAGACCAGTGAGAAAGTGCTGACAACATAAAGGCCTTAGTAAATGAGGCAGCTTCTCTCCCTCTAGCCAAAAGCATGGAATGAATCCCAGCACGTCATGCCTGGGCCTGGTAGGAAGGGCAAGGAAGGCAGGAACACCTGGCTGTGGTTTCTGTTGGTATTGAAACCAGACTGCTCCTCGGAGCTCGCCTCTCACCTCTTTGCCTCTGTCTTTAGTGCTCCCAGCTGTAACGGACCCCGGTTGCATCCCTAACTTCCTTAACCCCAGGCCTCCACCTCTAGCCTGTTCCCCAGCTCCCCCATCCCTGTGCCGGATAGGGAGCTTTCTTGATCCAACATTGACAATTTGCAGGGACCAGCTCTAAGATTAGGCCCAGAGCACAGAAGAACACTCTAGCACAGATGCGTTCTAGCTAGGGAAAGCCACTTGCACAAACAGAGGAGATGTCAGAGCATGTTTTGTGGTAAGGACCCACTCTGCTTCTCACCCCAAACTCACAATTGGCAGGCTGTGGGTAAGGCTGTGGGAAGGGGGCAGGGGGGGAAAGTATGACCTGGGCTGTGAGGGAAGGGTGATGAGGTTGTTCCCTGTGTTGTTCTTCCCTGTGTTGTTGTTATGGAAACCTTTGAGAATCTGATAAAAACTGTGAACCCTTACGGTCCCTTTGTAAACCCACCCTTCATGATTGACAGGTGAGAGATCTTTGAGCTGGGGCATGTAAGATGGGGAGTGGGGTCAGTTGTGGACTCCCATAGAAGACAAGGGTGGATGGGATCAGAACACAAGTGGAGGTGTCCGTTTTTGTTTCCCAGATCTGGAAGGAAAGAAAGAGGGGGTAAATACACAGATGTATCGGTGAAGATTGCCTCATATGGCCTCCATTTCAAAGAAAAGAAGGTCATTTCTAGAAAAGAAGCAGTTTTCTATGGGGAGCTCTTGGGGGCTAGAGAAATCCAGGAATGGCTGCTATTAAGTGTACGTGAAAAGAACACCAAGAAGTTAATAAAAGGCTTGCTAAGTAGCAGTGAGGGAATAGTTGAAGGAAAATACATTTTAAAAAAATTTTAGTAAATTGGGCACTCACTTTAGTACGTGGCTTTTCTTTGAAAATATATGTATACGTATAAATGATGTATAACTTGAACATAAACTGCTTTGTGATGGTATCCTGAGTCTTCTGGCATTGTTTTGTGAATACTCCATGAAAGCACTTGACTAAAAGGGAACAACCTCACTTGGAGATAAACATATTAAGTATGAATATATAATTAGTTCCTTGTGACACCCACACATAACATTCCTCATCACTTGTCTCAAGATGTATTGCTGAGGAACCAGGCTGACTTCACTTTGTGCTAAAGACGGGCAGGACCAAGGCAAAGTGCCCAAGAGGCCCAAGGACCAATTGGCATCAAAGATACTAGTTCCACTGGGGTCAGGAGGAGCAGTCTAAGCCAGAATGGATATAAGTTACAAAAATGGGCTAAGTTGTGCACAACATCCAGGGGAGTCAAGAAGAAACAGCAACAATCAGGAGTCAGGCAGAGCTTAGCGAAGCAGTGTATGGATGAATAAGGTGAAGTCTGAGAGAGCACGTGGCCCAGTGTTAAGAAGAAATAGACCTCTGTGTGAGCAAACTTTGGTAGCTCAAGTAAAGGGCCAGGATTGTAAGACATAGATTAACGAAGGGATGGGATCACAGGGATATCCAAGAGCA